TACTCCCAGGGTAAGGGAATAACGGAGATTGAGAAATATGGTGACATGGGCGAGGTTACTCCAAAGTAAGGGAATTACGGAGATTGAGAAATGTGGTGACATGGGCGAGATTACTCCCAGGGTAAGGGAATAACGGAGATTGAGAAATATGGTGACATGGGCGAGGTTACTCCAAGGTAAGGGAATTACGGAGATTGAGAAATATGGTGACATGGGCGAGATTACTCCCAGGGTAAGGGAATAACGGAGATTGAGAAATGTGGTGATACGGGCGAGGGTATCCCTAGGGTAAAAGGGGCTATGGAAAAAATAAGAAATGTGGTTACATTGCCGGGAACATCTGTATAACCATTATTCTCCTTTGTTTTGGATTTTTATGACTGCTATTTACTCAAATTGCCACTACCACTTTGTAAATCTGTTATATACCGTTTTGAAACAAACATAAACACCATCAAATGTTGAGATTGCGGATGAATAACAACAGACTATGCATTTAATGAGCAAATAAGAATTTGAGCGGACTCTTAAATTAAGTCACGTTTGTAAACGCACTCTCTAAGTTAGAAGGTTTTGTTTGTCAGTTACATTGTAAGTCAGTTTGCTTGACAACGTCGGGTCAGTTGCGCCCTCACCGTTCAGCCGCCACTCACGCCTACATGTCAGACTAAGGGGTAAGCAGCCCCATTACTTTCAAAATAAAATATGGTAGAGTGTGAGGACAGGATATCAACTTTAACTATATCATTTTGTTGAAACAAACCCATTTTAACATATTTTAGTTTTTAGCCCATACTCACGAAATTAAGTCTAGTTAGAGCCAACCGTTAATGACGGACATGTTGTGAAGGGACTTGATATACAGATATCACGTGAAAAAATAAGTTTACCTATTTGTATCATAACACTCTCTCACGATAAAATATCTTGAAAAATTAAATAAACAAATTATGGAAAATATATATGCAAACTCAGAATTAGTGATCACAATCTAATCATAGAGAAAGGTCGGCATACAGCTTGAAGACCAACAGTTATGTGAAAGGTGCGATACTGATAAACTTCCTGGTTGACTGCCCACAACATAAAGAAGCACGAATATTTAAGTCAATACAAACCTCATATCCACAGTTTAATTTGTTCTCTGGAAATATTCTTTCAATGTCATTATTTTTGGAGCTTTCCAGGCCGAAACTGCCATTTAACTCGCTAGGCATTTTGGGTAATTGTGTTGAAGGTTGTCCAAAGGTCATCCGGGTTCAAAGTGTCTGATAACACAGTTGTTTTTTATGGCGTTAAATTGCGATGATAAGGTGGCTGTATAGCCACTGTTGTCGGTGAAACAAGTCCAATCCACATGGGGATGTCGTCATTCGTGATTTTTAGGTTACTGTTTTCGCTGTTGGTGCCAGTATACGGACTGAATCCAGAATTTGCCGAAGTCAAAACATGGTGGTCAAAACAGATCACAACCGATTACTACACTGCTGGGAGGCTGTCTACACGCCAGGTCAAATACGCCGGAGAAGTCGGATTCAAGTCATTGTTTGCTGTCGTTAACCATACCACTCCCGGTCACATGGGGACGGAAGCCCTACCCATTACATCGAAAATTAAAACAACGGCATTGCAATTTGCGGAGGTTGATTTCGACATACTTCCGATGTCGAACTGGCGAAGTATGAATGCCGTATTGTATTTCAACGAGATGGCTCAGACTATGACAAAACCACTGCTAGTCTATTGTACCGCTGCTTATTCTAGTACCGCAATTGTTCTACTAAACTTGCTCTATATGACCAAACAAGATCCACGTTTCGAGCCTAAAGTTCACGCAGATGACTTCTTTCGCATTGCACGCGTCCATGGCTTTGATTTTGACATGGACGTAGAATTAATCGAATTAGTCTCGCATATTACAGGCGAGACTCCTATAAAGCTGAGACCTAAACCTAACAATAAACTTGCTAACTGGGGCACATACTGGCATTCAAAATTCGTTTCATCAGACTGGTTTGCCGCCGGACAGATGAGAGAAGGACACCTCCCTGCCATTATTGATGCCGGGTTTAACGCTGTGATAAATATCAGGCGTGGGCTGACCCAGCCTCCCCTGAATATACCATCACAAGAAGAAGTGACACTATTGAATATTGAGGATTTCACCGGTACCTATAAACGCGGCGGACGTCAAAATGTAACACGGTTACTGGAAACGCGTCTCGACCCAGATAAACCAAACAAGTATATTACGCCTACATCGGAAATTAATTACGAATTGCGAAATGAGGGTGAATTTGGTGACGACATCGGATACAACGAAGAAATTGAACGTGACACATATGCTGAAATAAACATATCATATTTTCACCTTCCTGTTGGTACGAATCATTTAAAATGAATTATTTGAAAATGAAATTTTCTATAATTTTGCTATGAACACCGGTTTAGGATTTGTAATTACAAAAAACAAAACAAAAACCGCTTACATATAATGTGTGTGTTGGGTATATGTTTGAGAAATACGAGGATCTAAATATAAGAAAAAAAAAATACTTTATACTACCAACGCCCACCTTACGATGTATTTTAGTGCTTTCCATGTCTGTTTCATAATCTATGTTTCTTTTTTGCAGCGCACACAACCGCTGACCTGTTCTATCAGTATCTTGATGCTTTCCGAATAGCTGCCGAAATGGGTCATGTGTTGGTACATTGTAGGAGTGGTTATAGAGCAGGTAAGTCTCGGATTCGTGTATTTTATTAGTCAAATTGTGTTTCTTTTTCTTGGAAATTTAGATATAAATACAATATAGTAGATTTACCACTATTATAGTAACTGTTATGCTTAATAGGACGCCCGCCGTCGATCGCTCTTCACATGCGATGTAGTTCCACTACTTTGATTGTAGAAATCACCGCACACAAAAAGGGACATTACCAAGCATTTTTGCTCGTCATTGGTAAAGCGCATTTGATTGTGCAAAAAACATGGTTTTGCTAGTGAACACAAATCTCGCACAAATCTTGCTAGTATATCACAGTCAAAATGGCCTCACAATAAACACTTATATCGTTTCATTTTCTAGCTGTGTGGACCCTGCTGGCAGAAGGATACTTCAATTGTAGAAGTAGTGATTGGGCCTTGAAACAAGCCGGTATCATGGGATATCATTTTACACGCGACAGTGACACGTATGGCGTATTTACAGAAGTGCTTGATTCTGATCGGGAAGAATGTCGTCAGAAACCTACACATATTCCAAAAAACAACATATTGACAAATTTAAGGAAATTCGCCATATTTTCATTTTTTGCCCACATGTTTGGTCTGTAATAGCGAGCTGTGATGGTATCTTATTGAAGATATGTATCCAGCATGTCAATATCTGAACAAACAATTCAAGTCATTTACAACTCAAAAACCAACTTACTAAATCTCAGATCAGTAGTGAGGGTATATATTCACTGGTATTTAAAGGTGGTTGATCGTCGCACAGTGCGTGTTCGAATCTCATCTAAACGTACAATGTATTGTAAACGCCTTGTATGCATTGCTATGAGGCAAAACCACCCTTTAAAGAGCGGTAGTCGTCACCCATGCATGCGCAGATACATATACGAGTCTCATAAACAGATGACAACTTTACAAACTGAGACGTTACCAAGCTTTAATTAGGTATTTTTTAGGTGATTATCGAAAGTATCACCGGCAGTATTAAGTGTAAGTCGATGGAATTTAATATCATACTGTCTCAGAAAAGAAGGATGAATATAATGCATATACATTCTGTTATTTCTTTGCTTTGATACTTGGTATGTATGTACATCTAAGTTTGGTGAATCTCTGTCAGATTTTTACGCCATATTTCAAAATACACTAATTGTTGAATAAGCTAGATGCATGTACTAAGTTTCAATACATTGGGGCAAACTGTTATGATTCAGAATAAACAAGATAAAAACAGTTAATTAGTATGCAAATTAGCTAATTAATATGTACATATTGATCAGAAGCTGTTGTCAGATGCGTGTGAGAGACGTCAGTGGCTAGTATCACCATAACAACGACATGCGTATTAGAGAATGTCATCGTTTAATCGAACGAATATTCACCCACGTGCTACAAAATTAGCTTTTTATGATTCTATCATTCTATCATGACGCGAAGACTCGATTCCACTGAACATCAACATTTCCGATGTGTGGAAATCCCTTTGAGTGAAATTTGTATTTAATGTTTCCCCCGACTCTATACGTTAATACATTTTGTGGTTGTACAACGTTGTTTCATTTCCCAGTCTTAGTGTATCGCGTGCGCCATTTTACTACAATGAAATTACCAGTACTTTGCACAACGTAGTCCGCGATAGCATTGTCCTGTATTTCCGTTTTCACAGAAGTCAGAAGCCTAGGTAGAAGCCTACTCATATTTGTTGAGAAAGTTGGTCATAAATCACATGACAATGTTCATTGGTTTATTATGTAAAATCATGTAGCTATTGTCCCATGGCACCATGAAATAGCATTCTTTTGTGTGTTACAGTGATGTATTTTGAGAAACTTGTACTAATTATTTTCAAAAATAGCTATTTTTAGAACAATTCCATAGAGCGCAATGTTAAACAAAAATTGCATTTTTCAACACTTTTTAAAACCCAGATTTTTGAAAAAATTCAGGAAAACAAAAAGTAGGCTATCATTAACAATATATTATTTTTTCAGCCTATGTCACCAGCCTACAATTTGAGATATGGCATAATATATCTGCCATAGAAACCTATGGTAAAAGCACTATAATACTGCCAAAATGGCCGCTATCCACTAAAATACAACCATGATTTTCTCGAAAATTAACCTGGTGACCCCCATTTTTTTCAAAGTCAATATTCTTATATTGCCTGGAAGTACAATATATTAAAAAATAAGAAATTCGGGGCTTTTGAAATCATGAGTAGGCATCTACCTTAATAAATAGTTCGGTTGTAACATATACTTAGGCACGTATGAGCTTTCTCAACCCAATGATAGAGGGCGCTATCACACACATATCGTCAGTGTAGCCCTAACTGTTACCAGTGAGTCAACCGGTGGACAGATCATTTGATTGTCTGCTCAGATCAGTCATAAAAATATTGAATAATGTAGAGGATATAATCTCACTTTCAGGTTGGCAAACCCATTTTTTTCCCTGTTTTTGTGTTACAGGTGCAGGTAAAACAACTGTCGAAAAATGGGCGAGGTGAATGACAACGAAATTAAGAGATGCCGAATTGTTCGGTTTACGATCATCTTGTCACGAACTTTGTTTATGTTGAACGTCCACGTTTAGTAACTGAAACAGTTAACCGAACTTCGATTTACTGGAAACATAAAACGTTAAAGAAAACAGAAACAAAACATGTTTAAAGTTTGAGTTACTAAATATGAACGTTCAACAAAAACAAAGATGTATGTTGTAAGTTTTGTTAACTGTTAATTGAACGTCGAGTTACGTAACAATTCAGCATCTTCAATTTGGACATGATTTCGCGTGGTTTCTAAAATATCGGTGTGGTCATCTACGTAACTGTTTTGGACAATAACACAAACGATTAATTTTAACAGTTATTTCAACAGTCATTTTATCCCTAAAAATTGTTAATTCTGTCAGACAAACGGTTCATGCCCGGTGTATTCGTTGTTATTTACACAACGATCCAGGCCACACACCGCACCAGACATATCATTCGAGAAGGCGCTCAAGTCAACGCCCTCTAGTGGTTCGTGTTTGTATCTAGGCAACGCGCTCGGAAAAGTTCGAAATATTGTCACGTGCCGGAGTTGTTCCATGTTTCGATGCTTTTACGCTCTTAGCAACCAAGCAAACCACATCTATATTGTGAATCTTTAAGTATTTACGCTAAATATCACACATTTTACGGAAAATCAAAACTACTATTCTTTCTACGTAATGGGCCAGTGTTGCAGTAAGACGGGTGCGAACTTTTCCGGAATTGGTAGGCAATTTCGGAAACGATTTAGGTGAGTTTATGTTCTGCTTAGTGAACCGATCTCTTCATATAATAATATTGTGATGACGATGACATCATCGCCGCTGACTTGTCATGTCATATATGTACTACTAGTTTCTTATATAGCCTTATTATCATGTTTTTACGCATAAATATCACCACGGGTGTTTGCAGAGAAGACTGCAGCTGCGACAAACCACAACCGTCAAGTTGTTATTATTCCCGTATTCATAGACACGAAATTAATGAACACTTTGCTTGATAAAAAAAGAGAACAGAAACTCCCAAATAGTCCACATAATTGCCGTGTTCTTATTATTCTCAGTATTATTGTATTTTTATATTGGCTATTTCAGGAAAAATATTAGTAAATCAGAAGTCGTGGCCATTGATATTCGAAATGAAAGAGAATATATTCGAAGCCCTGAGGTAAGTATAAGTCGACTGGTCAGTAACAGTACGGTAACTGACATCGATACACTGCCCGAATCAGTGAGTGACAATTCTATGTTAAGTACAGATAAAGGTAAATGATTCAACTGATGAAATGAACCGCGATATTATCTCACTTCAAAGATCAGTAAGTAAAATATATAAAGAGTACAATAGTTCAGCAAAAATACTTATTGAAGATATCGACCGTGATTACAATGTTCAGGATGATGCCAAATTACAGACAGATAATATAAAATTATCAGAGAAAAATCACGACTTAAATTCACAAATCAGTCACGGTAGACCGAATACGTCAATATATGGCGATAGCGTAACTGAAGGCCAGTTTATTGGAACTACGCCCAGAGCAATATTTGACATGAGTTTTGACGCCGGTGCAGAATTTGCACGCGAATTTGAAAGATATCGTAATTCAGACGAATATAAAGAAAAAAGACGGCGCCCTCAAACAAAACCTAGTGTAAATGGATTTGTAGATAAATTTTCTGCAATTGTAGAGCAGGTTTAACATATTGTAATTTGTTTTGCTGACAAAATCAGATACATTTTGATGATTTTCGATGTACTTACATTTACAACAGTACTATTTCCAATCAAGAAGACTTTCGCTATCCCAAATTTAAAATAATCGCTAAAACGCGTTTTTTCAATTAATGTAACATCAACTCAAATTATAGTATTATGACGTTGAAATACGGCGTATTTTTATCTTTTACATTCCCATGAGTTCGTTCAAATGTTATATCCGTAGAAAATCCTTTCAAAATAAGAAAAACGGCAAATAAAATGTTACAGTATTTCGTTTGATTCACATATGTGGCACTCATAAATAAACGGCAACTTTACATATTGAAGACGAAAAAAGTTTTTTTTGTTCTGCCTAGTATTCGTGGAAATTGCACTGTTGTGGGAGCACGCCCTCCCATCGGTAATCACACATAGCCAGGAAATTATTTTGTCGGCTTTGTTGGCAGTTTTTTTTCCAGTTAGCTTTTGGTGTTATCACAGTTTACTTGAATAGTTCACAGTTACCCACGTTTAAGTCTAATGTAAACGTTTAATTGACTGAACGCATTAACAACACAGACTGATAGACATGACGTCAGCAATGTGTCGATATTTCTATTACTTTTTATGTACTTCACTCATCATACTCTAATATATTTGTAAACTTTTTATTTTGCATGATAATTTTTGTATTGCATTTTATTTTTTTTACAATTACTTAATTGAGTAAGACTTGTATTAATTGTTTACATACTCAACCGTCATGTTTTATTTTGTTTGTAAAACTATATTACTGGTACATTAAATGATATTTATTTTTACTTTTTGTTTTGCTTTTTTTTATCATATCTTAATTACGTATGTTTTAAAACTTTTTTATGTACATAATTATCATGTTTTATTTTTTTGTATAAACTTTAATTTAGATGTTATTTATTGACTTGATCACAGTTACTTAATTATTATATTTTGTATTATTGTTATGTACTTTTTATCATCATTTTATTTCATTTGTCTTTTTTTAAGACTTATGGACTTGTATTGCTTTTATTCTTTTTACAAATATTTAATTGAGTATGTTTCTTTATCTAATGCACTCAGTCATCATGTTTTATTTTATTTTTTAAAACGTGTCTGGACCGATCATGTTCAAACTTCAAACATTATATCGGACCCATGCATTTGTTTTCCATGATCTGATTTAAGATGCCAAAAATAATAATACGATAATTGCTTTGCTTAGGTTCACAGGCATATTCCACTGACCACAATATAATCCTAGCCTATTTGGTAATTATTGTAAACCAATAATCGAATCTAAAGACAATGCTACACCAACAAAAAACAACAGATATAAAAGTTCAACTACATCTGAGTATAACTTTGCTACTATGGCAACATAAATTTTCCTACTCGACTATCAACTCATTTATAAGAACCCCAATTCAAAGTACTCTGCATTGTTATTTAACTTCACACGCACACGTGATTTAATAATGAACAGTATTTTGAACATTTAACTAAAATGTACCAAAATCATAATAACAAAAGTAGTTCTAGTATTTATTTAATAAACAACGCGTCGATAATGACATTCCGTTCCGACGTTGTGAAATTCTTTCGTTTTTATGGTGGAAAATACAGTATTGTTACCAGATCAAATCATATCTATATTTATTAAAGTCATTTTTCATACATGAATTTTTGACATATTTTGTAATATGATTTCAATCAGCTTTTTTATAATTCAAGTCAAATGAAATGCAAAAATATCTAGAATACAATAACAATTTATAATTTTGTAATGCTCGTGTAATTGTTAATATGTACATTTCGTTGAATATCCTTAACAGATTTCTAAATTCACTTGTCAAAATACAAAACAAGTTGTTTTCAGGTTGATTTTTTCAAAGAAAACACACACACAATGTCGAAAACGGAAAATCTTATCGTAGTGTTTAAAAATGACATGTATTTTTTTTTTTACAAATAACTGCTAAATACAGTACAAATCATTATAAAATAAAGGTATATTATTCAACAAACAAACACGAGTAATACTATTAATTACAGAATTAGGCAAGTGCATTAAATCAGTAGTATAATACATCCATTAGTAAATCCTACACAGAAACATATAAAGTATGTTGCGTTCTTTTGAGGCGCGCGATATAAATTTAGTCGAAGGTCTTGGGTTACACTTCAACACAAAATTTAAATTTCATTGAAGATTGTGATCCAAAAAATCGGACACATATTACTAACACGTTCAATTGTTTACGGATAGCTACAGAAGGCAGTAAACGTGAAATAGAAATATTTCGAAACCAGTTCTCAATAGTGTGTAATTGTGCCTAACGTTTCACTAAGACCACATTAGCATGAACTCTTCAATTTGAAGACTGCGAAATAGATAAAACATTTCAGAAGACTAATTGCCACAGTAAAGTTGGTTATCCCGCGACTGTTAAAATAGATCCCACTGCGTCTATTTAATATATTGGAGCGGTACGCACGTACAAATAGCTGCCAAAAACAATTGTTTTTCCCTGGTAAACATACATTTAGCCATACTACAAATTATAGTTCACTATGTGGGGTCAAATGAAACATGGAATGCGTTTTATCACCAATGAAAGCAATATCTGGCTCCATTATTTAACTGACGCAGTTTTTCCTAGGCTTCGAGCACCAACATCCTTTATAAATGCACCTATCAATTCCGGAGTTCGATGCACCTTTATAAAACTCTATTGCAGTATATTGCAACTGTAGTTCTAGTTCTGACATATTTTACATCTCCACAGACGCAACGCGCCCTGTTTGAAATGGGCCCAATGCTGCGTATACAGTGCCTTTAAAAATAGGTTCTTACTCCGATTACTAAATATCGAACCCAGTTCCCAGACTACATCTGGTATTTTATCAGTAGAAAGTCTATTCTATTCGCCATATCAGCTAATTTTGGTAAAACACTCATAATACCCTGATACGTTTTTATCTCTGCCTCGTCGTCAAACAATTCATGATGATCCTCAACAGAAGAGTGTTCAATCTTTGATAGGTCGTAATCACGTGAGGTCAAAGTGGACCAGGTGTTCAGCATAACTTCCAGCTCATCGTAAGTGCGTTTTTGAACACTGTTCATTAGTTCTTCTGGGAAGTTCTTCATAGTGAGGTAAATATTCATCTTAATCTGTTGTCGAAATATCCTAAAATTATGAATATTTTGTAAGAAAGCGTCAATGATTATGTAAGTGTTCGTCATTTCCGGATCGTCTGTGCATTCCTTGAGTTTCTCCTCGACGTATCGCAGCGTTGGGATAATGTCTACGTCATCAGTGCGGATTGATCTCAAAGCTATGATAAAGAGCTTCGTAGCCTTTTCGAACTTACTGAGTGACACGAGACATGAATTCAGTTGCTGAGAATAGTGTGCGTGCAATTTCTTTGTGAGCACTAAATGATGTTTCTTCTTTTCTTCCGTTTCTGGAAAAAATAATAAAACATAAATACGTTAAACTACTATCAACTATACAATGAAAATGTGGAATAAAGTTTTAAAAAGCCCTCTTACCCAAAATTTATGATTGTAGTATAACGTGTATTCCCGGATGCAATGGTCTTTAGCCACAGCCAATATTTACTATTGGTGTAGCCAGGTGACTCAAGTGGATCGAACCAACTACGTTTTTGTATAAACGAAGGTTTTTTTTACCTATACTGTATTACCTGTATGAACGCAGCTTTCTCTATACTAAGACATGTACGAATTGAAACTAGTGACCCCCCTTACTTTGTATATGAACACAGCTTTCTCTATAGTAAGAAATGTACGGAGTGCAAACAGTTCGTGTATGAATGCGGTGTTCTCTATACCTGTACAAAGTGCAACCAGTGACCCTCTTACTTTGTGTATGAACGCAGCTTTCTCTATACTAAGACATGTACGGAGTGCAAACAGTTCGTGTATGAATGCCGTGTTCTCTATACCTGTACGAAGTGCAACCAGAGATCCCCCTTACTTTGTGTATGAACGCAGCTTTCTCTATAGTAAGACATGTACGGAGTGCAAACAGTTCGTGTATGAATGCAATGTTCTCTATACCTGTACGAAATGCAACCAGAGATCCCCCTTACTTTGTGTATGAACGCAGCTTTCTCTATAGTAAGACATGTACGGAGTGCAAACAGTTCGTGTATGAATGCAGTGTTCTCTATACCTGTACGGAGTGCAACCAGAGATCCCCCTTACTTTGTGTATGAACGCAGCTTACTCCATACTAAGACATGTACGGAGTGCAAACAGTTACCTCAACGTTTGTGTATGAACGCAGTGTTCTCTATACTCGTACGGAGTTTAAACAGTGACCTCAACGTTTGTGTATGAACGCAGCTTTCTCTATAGTAAGACATGTACGGAGTTTAAACAGTAATCCATACGCATGTGTATGAACGCAAGTCTCTCTATACCTGTACGGAGTGACGTACATTCATTTCAATGGTGAGTTGCATGTATACACAAACGTAGAATAAGGACCTCTGTCAGTTTCCTTTCCCTTTTTAATTTATATTGCAACCAACGAACATAACTACTCAACTGTTGACACAAGGCTTATTGACAAGTTGTCTTGACACAGGTGACTCCAGGTTGCCACACTAGTAGAATAGACAGCATTGTGTTTTGATGAGAACTCGACATGCACTTATGTGATCCCAATAACAGGGACACTCACAAATATACTCACATATTTGCTTACTCTTTTCGTATGCACTGACATGTTCAGATCGGTGTTATATGAACCTGTTCAGTTTATACACGACTTTTGTGTTTATTGCTTCATCGATTTATACATTCCTACCTACAATGTTGTCACTCACGGATGTCAAATCTGTCACAAAGCGTGAACGACACACGGAGTATAATAACAATAGCGTATGACAGATTATAAATACTGTAGTAATAAAAATAGTTTTCATGTCATCTATCAAGTTGACTGCCTCTGTAGACCACGGTGACCTGATAATAGTTTATTTACAAGATTTTTAAGTATTAGTCAACATCTTATATTTTGTTGTTTGGCCACGTGTTTTTGTTTCTATAGTTGAACCGATTCGCCAACATTCTTTGTCACACAACGAAGTAACAACAATAATAAAAATCGCGGTTTGGATTAGGATTGTATTTTAATAGATTATTTAATTAAAGCCATAACAATTGCTAACATTGGTCGAGCATAACTGAATAGACGCTCTCCAATCAAAAGAAAGACTGACACAAACACAATTGTCTGGTACTAAACATGTATTTAAACTTGTCGTACGCATGGCTTGCTTCATTGGACGCGTTGTAAATGGTTATAATCAGTCATCATAAAACACCCAGCATGCCGCCTTTGGTCGTGGATTCACTTCAATACCAGTGATGTGACCAACCGACGACTGGGTACAGTCACGCTTAAAGTGAATTTCACAGTGCTTGGTGCGAAAAACCGTTGTCATGTACGGGCGCCATTGTTTCTACACATATGCCCGTTATATGCTACACATACCAACACGCGATGTGAAATGAACACTGTCTCATTGTTTACGTTTTACAAATGTCCCTGGCAATGGATATACTGAGCAAACTTGAGTTTTTCACATAAAAAAGTCAAATATCTTCGTCGAAATTACGTTTTTCCCACATGAATGCTCCCGAGTATGTAACTACTAGACAGCCACACCTATGGTATAGTGTGACAATACAGCTAGCGCGCCATGTTACCCGGGACAGTCTCAATAACTACATACCGCATTCAAATAAACACGCCCCAACATGTGTTTGAATTAGACGATGTTTTTAATACGTCGTCAAATATGTCGTACACAGGATGTAGTAACTCGTCTTTGTATATCAAGAACTGCGTAAATATTAAACGAACGACCACAAACAGGTGAATTCATTGCCACCATTCTGTGTGTACCAATACTCGTTATCGGTTAACATATACATAACTATATATCATACATTCACGCACCATGTAAAATGTCACAACGTTTTGAAAAGACATCCGTTTGTTGTGGTGTTTCGCATTTCTTTAATACATTGTTCGAGATCCGTTAAAAAAGCGATCATTTACTTCAAACATCAACAATTTATACTAACGCTCTTGTTCACCTTCATTGAGGACACAACGACATTTACAAATGTCTTGAAAAATAGTCAGAGAACGATGTAGAATTGCATACAAGATCCGAATATATGAAGTACAAATGGTTGTTATTACATGACTAATAGCTATATATGATTTTGAGTGTGTTTACTAACCGGGATCGGTACCGTAATCGACAACGCCATTATCGTTACCACTAGCAACTGCGGTATCCATATCACACGTACTTGGCTGTTATCAAGACCAATCCAAGTATAGTAATCACTCTCAAATACACCGCGGTCGTCACAAGTTGGGACGATGTCCTAGTTAGACACTTCCCAACGACGGTCACGTCTGCCGTTGTTAAGTCTTCGTCAAACAGCTCGGACTTTAGATGTGTCAGCTAGAATGTGGTGTTTGTGTGTGTACCCGTGCTTTGCATGTAACTGCGCTTCAACAAAATACAATGGACTGAGATATCAGTAACACACACCCGTGTATATAAGAAACAACCCCTAACGTGACCCAAGCTTACCTCAGAAAAAAAAAACATTTTTCTCTAGTTTGATTACCATTTAATACTGAGAAATACCAAAAAACTGATCCGCACTCATATAGTATTTAAGAATAGTGAGAATTCTTATATTCAAATAAACTTTGACTTGCCGGCATCGCCACCAACGGACCAACATGTGACCTTGCGCCATCACCGTATAAAACCCTAAAATAGGACTGTTTTTGTCTATCAGCGCTAGTGAGATCACCGGAGACCGTCTCGGGTGAAACCTTGGCAGCCAAACACGAGAAATGATTTTCAATATCATTTCACGTGTTTTTGAATGTAAATGAACACTACCTTTGCGTATACATTTGAATTTATAAAACGAGTATTTGAGGACGCACCATCTCAAAGAAGAATCCGAGGAAAGATAGATTTTGCAGGTTTATTGATTGCAGAATTCACTTCAAGTGTAGAAATCACAAAAATATTGAACCACTACTACACATTTTCGTTATGTCACGATTAAACCCAACGCGTTCGCCTTGCATGGGGTATTGTCTTTACACGGCAATGCAGACAGTTCGACGACGGCGGCGCCACCACGAGTCGAACTGCAATGATCGCAACGATCTGAAATTTTCTATTCAAAAAACATTTACAACTCTGACATTGTTACCATGGCTACATATCTGTTGACAGACTTTATATTATAATAACGTACCGCTAAGGTTAACCTGACTGACAATCTGAGATTAAGTTAATCCTAACACAAAGACCTATTCAGTCTATCACTTGATACCAATGAATTGATGTACACCGTTATATTGACTTAGTGACGCCGAATAACCAAGATATCAAACAATCAGCACATCTATATGCATTCCAACACTGTTGTACGGTATCTCTCTTTAAAAAGAACTGGGCGGCAGACAACGTGACTGAAAAACATATTGTCCTAACCGAACACTGTGTTCATCATTATTTGCCAGACGGAGTATTCTTGTCGAGATTCTAGAGATAAAACGTGTCAGCTGATATTAAGATATACCTTCACCTGGTAATCACAGCGCCCTAAATACCCGATAACATGCTGACTATGTATTATGTATTGTGACCCCATATCCGCTGTGATGGGAACGCCAGATAATTTCATCAAAACATTTCGGTCAATTGATAATGTTCGACCGATATTTGAACATAAACAGCAGAGCTATATTTATCAAGATTGTAAAATGCATAAAGTTTCTGGTAAACTCTAGAGTATTCACGGTAACTGTATTAATACAAGTTCTAAATATGGTCCCCAAATTACAGGGTCTTTGGAACGTGCACGTGTCTGCCGTATATATGTACACACTTTATTGGTGTGTCCGCATACCGAACTTTCACCAAATTACAACTATGGTTACCTTCATCTAGTATCGCCACAATCTACAATCTGCTTGTCTCCATTACACAGTGACCAGGTACTACTTAGGCTATTTCAAATAACAACCCATGGTTTCCTTAGAGTAACACAACAATTTGCATTGCTACAAGCACACATTACAACACATTAATTTGCATTGCTACAAGCACACATTGCAACACATTAATTTGCATTGCTACAAGCACACATTGCAACACAATAATTTGCATTGCTACAAGCACTCATTGCAACACAATAATTTGCATTGCTACCAGCACACATTG